TTGGGGTCTTGCAAGTCGACTTTTTTTTTCCACCCATACCCAAGCCAACCTTTTGTTTGGTGTTGATGACGTTTCTCGCAATCCAGTGCCCCCACTGCCTCTGATCGTACGGTATCGCATCGAGCGCTTTCACCATCTTACGATCTGCCGCATTCTTACACGCTTTTGGATTCGGCTTATTTGCACAAACGCTGTAATCAACGTCGTGCTGCATTGCAATCGCGTCACTCGGGCCCATTGGTTGTTCATAGATCTCAAGAATTTTGCCAGTCTTTGAGTCGTATCGCAGCTGAGAATCGAGGTCGTTATAGGGCCCAGTGTATTTGTGACCTGGTAGCGTCCAGCCGCTTTTCGGCTTCGGTAGTTTGCCGATAGCTTTGTGAATATCAAAGGAGCCACCTTCGTAAAGCGGGTTCGTCGGGTCATTCACCCCCGATGGCGCGTACATCGACATTGGCACAATTTGATTTACATCGTACGCGTTCAGCGTTCCCCCACTAATCTTTTTGCTCATATCATTAACAAACGAATCGAGAGCCTGATCGAGATACTTGTTTGCCTTCTTTTTGAACTTGCTCTTCGCATAGTCAGATTTGACAGCGTTCGCAAGCCCCTGCTGCGCCATGTTCGCAAGCCCCTTCAAGGCCATCTCACCCAACGAGGTGCTGGTTCGTCCTACATCCTCAAAGAGCGTCCCGCCTTTTTTTTTACTCCTCCTTTCACGAAAGTTGTCTTCATTGCACCGCATTCAGCGCACTTCGATTTGATCATCAGTCGGCCATTTTTCGCGACCACCTGCCTTTCGGATCCCGGCACGCTGTCAGTCTTCTTTCGTTGCCTGACGCAGTAACTTAACATTTTCGAGTTGTACTTTGATCTTAGTACTATGTATTATATTTTTTCGTCGAAATTTCGTGCAACAGTACTTTTGACTTTGTCAAGAAACAAGAAATCGTAGGGCCTCAGCGCTGAAAAAGCACTAACATCGAAACAGTTCTCATCAGCGATTAGCTTGCGGTGCCGCTGTGTCGGCGGCATATAGACGATCATATGAGAGCAATTAAGCCTGATGTCGATAGGTGTCTTGTGATACGACTGGGATAGGTACACCGGTGAGATTTGGTGGTGCCGCCCATCGATAAAGTGCTTGAGGATTTTGCTTTGCGTCTCTTTCGGAGCTGTAATCAAGTCATCGAAAATCACAACCTTTCGACCCTCGGGGTACTCAGTTGTATCAGGAATCTGTGAGGGGTCTATCAGATGTAAAATCTGATAACCTAGTTTTTGCGAATACCGGTGCATGATCTTTGCAAGGTCTTGTATCAATTCTTGGTGGAAGTTGGGGCTATAGATATAGATCTCGTCGTACGGTACAAGCGGTGCCCTCAGCATATAGCACAAGACGTTCGTTTTCCCTGCGCCGCTTGGGCCAGCTATCAACATTCTATAGTCCTCATCGAGATAGTCAACGCCTGGAACTCTCCTTTTTCGAGTGCTACTGCTAGTAGTAGTCAGTTTTGGTATGTTAACCATGAACTTTGTTCTTAGTACTTAGTACTATCGTAGAAAATCTATGTTGATTTTTTGGTCACCCCTAGCACGACCAGGTCGTGCTTTTTTTTACTTTTTTAGATTTTTTTTCTCTTGTAAAGAAATATAAAGCAAAGGATATCAGTACATTACATTACAAGTTCAACAAACATGCAACTCTCAAGTCTCAAAAGTATTACCAAGTATAATGTTATCTTCGAAGAGGCGACCACTAACCAACACGGTCACCAGCGTATCAACATCAAGGCCAAACATGGACTTGGAGAGAATAAAGCAGGGCCGTTGGTGGTGGCCTCTCCTTTTCGATTCTCGTTCGGCGTACAGCCGAGCTTGAGTAAGGGTGGTGATGTTACAGGGTACACATTACCCACTCCCCTGTGGAACCACCAAGAGGGTGAACCAACACGAAAAGAGTTTGAATTCTACAACGCTTTGAAAGAGTTGAAGCATATTTGCTATGAACATCTAGACGAGTTTTATGGCACGGACGTGGCAGAGAGCATAAAGTTCCCACTGGTTGAGAAAGAGGGGAAAGCACCGGTCCTGTACCCAAGGCTTATGTACAGTCAAAAGACGGAAAAGATACGCACCCTCTTTCACTCGAAAGAGGAATCAAAAGTGGAGCCGCTAGAATGCCTTGATTACTGTAAGGTAAAGATGACCATCGTGGTTGATAGTATCTATCTGGGTGATGAGTACGCATCGGTACAGCTGAAAGTAAACGATGTATATGTGCATCTGTTACCTCAGAGGCAGGTGCAGCCATTGGCTGTCCTTGAAGAAGATGAATTCGAAGAAGAAGAAGACTTTGAGGATGAAGAGGTCTAAGACCAAAGGTCTTTTTTTCCTTTTTTTGAAACGAAAAAGGAAAGCTTCAAGCGAGGGTAGCACTTATCTCAAAAGTTAAGTGTCAACGATGTAAAAAGCGGGTGTTGCATTTATTTAGAAAGATAAGTGTTACCCTCGCTTTTACTTTTTTTCGATTTTTTTTCTCTTGGGGTAGTACTAAAGCAACTAAAGCACAGCACATTACAAGTATCACAAATATGAAACTCACAAATTCTGAAGTCTTGAAACTCACAAATATCGAAGATATCAACAAGGACAACGTTATATTCGAACAGACGACTTATAAGAAGGATGAATTTGGGCGTAGACGTATAAACATTAAGGCGAGACATGGAGACAAAACTGGACCGTTGATGATAGCAACACCTTTTGACGTATCTAGTGTAGAACCTACCTGGTTGGGATGCAACAGGGTGGGTTATCACATGTCTTTTCCCGTGTGGAGCCCGTTTGAGGAGCAGACACAAAAACAGACTAACTTCTACAACGCTTTGAAAGAGTTGAAGAGCCTTTGCTATGAATACCTAGACAAGGTGTATGGCAGAGAAACGGCGGAGAGCATGAATTTTCCAATGTCTAAGGCACAAGACCAATTTGGTTTTAGTATAGTGCAGAGCTTTTATCCAAAGTTTATATACAGTAGAAAGACTGACAAGATAAACACCCTCTTTCACACTAGAGGGATGACAAAAGTTAACCCGCTCGACTACTACCATAAGCACTGCTTTGCTAAGATGACGATAATCGTTGATTACATCGTCATTGATGGTGATGACGTAGCTGTGCAGCTGAAAGTAAATGACATATATGTAGAACCGTATCTGAGTAGGCAGCCGTTGGCTGTCCTTTCTGAAGATGAACAAGAAGATGATGAAACTGAAGTATCCGGCATGTTCAGAAAAAGACCGAAAAGCGGTTGGACTTTACCAGGTTACAAATATCCTCCACCCCCACATTTAGAACCCCTGGCAATCCCCTCCAAAGATCTGGAAACTTTTAATAAGCTACTTAGCATAGACCCAAACACTGTCCCCTTCTATCCCCTACCAGCAGCTCTGAGTAACGACTCTGAGTCAAAAGAGTGTAGCTCTTCGAGCTCTTCAAGCTCTGATAGTGAAGAAGAAGATAACCTTGATAAGGTTGAAGAGGAGGGTGAAGAGGAAGAAGATAAACTCGAAGAGGAAGAAGGTGAAGAGAAAGTATCCACATTGTCCAGTCTGGCAACATGAGCACACATAAGTGTAGGTAATTTTGTCAAAGCCCAGCTTGAGTACCTTAGACGAGATGGTAAAGACCTCGAAGAGGGTGAAGAGGAAGAAGACGAAGTCTTCGAAGAGGAAGATGAAGGGTGTGAAGTGCCCTTGGAGTTTCCTTGGAGTGCAGAAGAAGACCTTGAAGTTGAAGAGGAAGAAGATGATCCTGAAGGATGCTTTTGCACGCGACAACGGAGATACAGAACTTCAACGGAATTCCTCAATGCAATAGCTGAATGCAAAAACACGATGAAATACATCGATTCAGTACGCAGCAGGCCTAAGGCCTAAGACCTAAGACCAAAAAGTTTTTTTTCCTTTTTCGAAATGAAAAAGGAAAGCACGCCGAAGCGGTTGGGTTAACTAGCCCTCGTGGCATCGCCACGAGGGCCGCCAACTCGTGGACGAGTTGGCTGACCCAACTCGTCCATGAGTTGGATAGCCTGAACCGGCTAGCTTCAAGCTTTACCAAAGCGTTTTTCATACTGCTTGAGTACATTACTCGACTGAAAGATTGGGCAAAGATCTGTAATGGTGTCATCGATAAGCTTTACCTCTTCGATAAACGCTGCGCTGTTGAAGGTCCTTCCTCTCATATAAGACCTCAGATCGGTCAAGATCTTCTCATAGGTAGTAAAAGCGAATTTGCTCATATCGATCTTTCGATCAAACTTTTTCACATCTGTCAAAGTCTTGAGAAGGAGCCCGGCACCCGATATTGTGCCAAGCAGGATCGGATTCATGGTCACCCCACCGGCTATCCCACCGATAACGATAAGCATACTACTCCCCAGTTTACAGAGTAGGCTCTTTCGTTTGAAAATTGTGAAGATCTTTCGCGAGCACCACCACTTTTTGTGGTAGTGCTTGTATAGAGCCTTGAGTTCATCGATCTTCTCTTCTCCGATCGAGTAGTCGATGTGATTAAAGTTGAAAATGGCAGCGTCAGACATTTTATTATGAGCGACTCATAATAAAATTAGCTTTTTTTTTGCAAGGCAAGACCTAAGAGGGCTTGCCCTCTTGGATTAATGCAGATCGATGATCTGCATTAATCCTGCTTCACAATCATCAGATAACTGTTACTAGTCCCATCGAGTAGTACATTGTTGTTATCTGTTGCCATGCTCACTGAAGTGTTTGCTTGAAAATATAGTAGTACAGAATTAGCGTACGTCCTCCACAGATTATTTGTCTTGGGTAGTGCTAGATAAATATAGCCGTTTGCCGTGGTCATGAACGGATTGCTCAAGGTAAATCTGAGGTTGGATAGTAGTGAAGACTTGATACCATCAGTAAATGTGACCATATACATTCCAGCGTTTTTGATGACGAGTTTTTTGGTGTCTGAACTGCTTACCGTGAAATCATCGTTAGCGCTCTGCGTAAAAACTCACCTGCGATTTATTGTTATGAGCGCAGTTTCCTCGATACCAGATCTTTCTCAACGCTGTGTTTATATCATCGACATACTTTTTCGTGACAGCTGAAGAGGCGACAGTCGGTTCAAATTCGAGAGTAAGTTTAGAATTAATATGCACTCCACCGCTTGCAAAGCTGTACCAACTTGTCCACACCTCTTTCGGCAAGCTGTTGTGATAGCCCTTTGATCCATAAACTATCACCCAGATGGGGAGAGTTTGGTCGTATGACTGGCCAGACTTGTTCTTGATCACAACGTCATACATAACGTAGTTTGGCGTCGCATTTGACCACTTAGTCATGTGAATGAGGGAGATGATGTGATTTTCAAATTGATTGCTGCGCTGAGTGGAGATTGTTTCAACACTGCTGGTTGCCGTTAGAGTCACACTCTTTGGATCGACTTTACTCGATTGCCAACACACCTCACAGACGACGGTATATTCACCTCTGTCCGCCTGATACATATTCACGCCAAAACGAGATGAATAATAACCCTTGCTAGTGTCCAGGCTTAAATCAAACGGTTTGGTTCGGGGGTTGGTGGGATACAGCACAACCTGGTCTGTGATATTTTTGCCGGTGATGTCGTCCTCGTCAGAGAACTGGCCGTTGCTGCTCATGATGTATGAGAGGTCGTTACTCAGCTGAGGACCCGCTATGTTATGCGCTAATCGGTCTTCAACAAATTTCCTGTTGACTAACACGAAGTGTTCGTCAGCTGCGGCGGTATGTGTAGAAGTAACTTTGTTTGAACCCATCACAAGATCACCCGTCATAGTATCGCCTGATTTGTCGACCTTCGTTGCTGCTAAATTCGTAGCAGTTGTTGTGCAATGGTCTACATACTTTTTGCTTACAGCTTCATCGTTATCTGAGAAGGTATCGGCCAGGTTCGCGATTTTCCGTTTTCGTGCATCGAGAATCTGTTTGTCGTTTAAGTTGCGAAAGCTCGGTATTCTCTTTTTCGTATTATCAACATAAGTCTGGTTCACATTGCTGAGTGTTGTCATATCGAGATATGCCTGCAGGTGTCTCTTGATCGAACCGGCCTCGTAGCGTGAGACGAGCGTGTTTGAATTCTCGTATGTTGCTTGTTGTTGTGTCGTCATGCCTAGATAGTTCTCCCTCTTGGTGTTGATCACATCTTTACCATTCATATCAAGGTTAGCTGTCATCTTTTGTGTACCATCCAAGAGCATAACAGCTGATGTATCCGCTTTGCCGCTCAACCCGTTCAAAACAGTCGATGAGTCTGCCTTCTTCCCCAATTCGGTGTTGAGTTTATTTTCATTTATTGCGGCAGTGCCGTTGAGTGGTTGATTGCTTAGCCCCGTAACCTGCCGGTCTGCTCCATGTGTGCTTGTGAAAGTTATAGCCTTCTTCAAATCTGAAAGATCGATGTTAGCAGACCCTGCTGAACCGGCAGGGCCGGTAGGTCCTTGTGGTCCTCTTGGTCCTTGCGAACCTTGTGGACCCGTATCCCCCTTTGGCCCTTGCGGACCTGTATCCCCCTTTGAACCGGCAGGACCTTGAGGACCTCTTGGTCCTTGTGAACCGGTAGACCCTTGTGGTCCTTGAGAACCGGCAGGGCCGGTAGACCCTTGCGAGCCTTTGTCGCCTTTGTCACCTTTGTCGCCTTTGTCACCTTTGTCGCCTTTCACACTTTGAGGACCTTGCAGTCCTCTTGCACCGGCGGAGCCGGTGGGTCCTCTCGAACCGGTAGGTCCGGTAGGACCGGTTGGTCCTTGTGGCCCCTGCGAGCCGGTGTCACCCTTTGAACCGGTGGGACCTTGTGGGCCTGTGTCTCCCTTTACCCCTCTCGGTCCTTGTGCACCGATAGGTCCGGTGTCTCCTTTTGGACCTTGCGGACCTTGGGGTCCTGTAGGGCCAGAGTCGCCTTTGGGTCCTGGTGGACCTTCAGGCCCTTCCTTCGACGCTCCATCCGCTCTAGGATCGACTTCGTGAAAACCGTCACTGAACCCAATCTTGCCTGTTTTTGTAATCTCTTCAGATAATTTGAAGAGATTTTTTTATGTAAGCTGAAGACCTTCACCTGAAGTAATTCATGATGAAGCGTTCGTTTGACAAGGTGTCGCTGTGTGATAGAGGTTTTACTACATCGTTGAAGACAGAGTACAGGCTCTGCTTTGCTTTGTATCTTTTCAGCCTTCGACTCACCTCATTCAAAAACCACAGGCAATAATACCCGCACAACACACTCAACATAGCTTGATATTGTACGTTGTTGTATGCATAGTTTACACCGAAGCTGTCGGAAAGCGTTACAACCTCCTCCGGTGGATGTAAACCGAAAGAGTCGAAAAATAAGATGAGGCCGGAACCGAAAAACATTGCTACCCAGTGTGACCCACTTTCATGTGACTCGTTAAGGTTAATCACATAACACCGCTTTGGTTTACAATCTTTTATGTGATCTCTCGAGATCACACCACCAAAGTTCGGGATCTCGAGATAATTTACCCACTCATCGATATCGAGGTTTGTTATCGGAAGGTTTTTGAAGGGTGGCTTCAGAGGATGTCTCCTACGATCGGAATGTTTTTGAAGGGTGAGTTTTTTCCCAATAGGATTCCTTCGCCTTTTTGTTTTTTTCGGCCTCGCCCTAGGGTTGTCACAGGTCCATCAAACTGTGTTGGAAAGTAGATCGGCGGTTGTGGGCCTCCTTCCCAATAAGGTCTGTTTTGCAAAGCACCGCCGTTTTTACCTCTGGTGCCTCCAGTGCTCGGCGCACGTCTGTTTTGCAATCCCCTCCCGCTTCGCTTCACACCACTTCCGGTTAGCGCTTTGAGAACTAGCGGTATTCCGATGCTGGCGAGAAGTGTGCCGAGAAAACCGCCTGATTGCTTCTTGGTCAGCTTTATTTTCAAATCAGCACGAGATTTAAGTGCTGCGAGGATGTCTTTCTGCTGCTTATCTGTGAGAAGCTCTTCGTAATTGATGAGATGTTGAATGTTCGGGTTTTTCACGAGAAAGCCGCCATGGCTTACACCTTGCCCCGCGCCTAGGACTTTGTCTGTGACAAAATTACCTACACTTGTGAGCGCTCCCGTTGCAAGTCCGGGTAGAGCCTTCGTAGCGAATTTCGTTACAGTTGGCAATACTTTAGGTAGCACTTTCGAGCCGAGCGCTGAAAGTGACGTGAAGAGATTTCCTCCTTGCTGTGCAACCTTTCTGATTTGCGTCTTGCTGATCTTGAGGTCTACCCCCTTGCCATTGCTCGCAGCTTTTTGAATTCGATTTATTTGAGTCTTTGTCAGCATCATTTCGTCAGGTCCACTCAGTTCATTGTGTGAGAGGCGAAGAGTGATAGCCGATTGTGAAGTGTAAGCTTTAGCAAGCTTTTTTCTCTGACCCTCTGAAAGGGCAACTCCGTAAGGATAGTACGTCGTCATAGCTTTTATAATATGCTCCATATTATAAATTCAGAAAAAAGATCACACCAAAGATCTGTGATCTGATCTAAGTCTTGATAACTGCCTTTCCAGACATATTATCAATACTGACCTCTTCCTCGTTCAAAACAAGGGCATAGATGTAGTAGTCAGCGTTAGTAGTATTGTTGAGACTATACTCGAATTCCAAGCCGGTAGTTCTTGTTAGTAGCTCAGGTGTCTGCTTCGTGAGATCGAAGTACAGAATTCCGTACAGATCCTGAAACTGTTTCAGATCGATAGCGGGGCCAAAGAGTTGTGAGCTGGTTGCGAACTTTGAGTATCCTTGCAGGGCTAGCCAAGCGCGTGTGATCTCACTGTTTGGGTCTAGTTGTTGATCTGGATAACACTCCCCATTCTGAACTCTGAGTTGGGCTTTCGTCAGGTACCGAGCATTCGCGATGTTATAGGTGTTGAAGATTAGGGGATTCTGCTCCTGGATGAAAACTTGTTTGCGTTCACGATCCACACAAACACATGCCTTGGTCGTCTCACCGCATTCGTAATTCTAAAGGTGCCGTTTGCTTGTCGAAGCGGATCAGAGACAATGACCTCTTCACGCATATAGTTCCACGAGTGGGGTTTTAGGTAGTCTTCCATGTACTTTCTTAGACCTTGAGCGTTGAATTTGATGATAGGCACCCATAATTTGAACTTAGTTATGATGTAACGCCCCGCAGCTGCCGCGTTTGATCGGAACAAGACGTTATCATCGCTTTCAAGCCTGACCTCGATTGAAACCCGCCCGTTGGGGGCTAATTGTTCCTCCATCGAGTCAAAAAACTCGAACCTGTTCAATGGCAAGTGGATATTATTCTCAGCACCTGCGGAGAGAAGAGTCTTTCGTTTGGCAAAACCTTCGTTGTAATTCGCGTTGTCAGTTGGCGCAATGTTTTGCGCGTTTCCGTCAAGTGCGAGTGTTGTATACTTCTGGATGGTAGCGCCGGTGGCCGTATCCTTGTAGAAGAACTGTCGGGGGCCTACCTTCTTCGCATGCTCATCAGACATCTCTGTTAGATTTTTCACATTTACCGCGTGGTTGGCTGCGGGGAGATCGAGGACCCGGGTACCATCAAACGAGATTTTGAGGTCTTCGATTAGACTAAAACCACCATTGATAATAGCAGCAGCATCTGCGGCATCGTAGTTTGTATTGTCCATCTTCGTGATCTTGAGATCTATTTCGAAGAAAGCGTTATACCAGTCAGGGACAGATTCAGAGGCTGAAGAGGTGTCTACAGTGAATTTGAAACCACTTTTGACTTGATTGGCATTATTGGCAGGTGCCGCTTGCAACGGTGTGTCGAGATCGTATGAGTAATACTCATACGCCTTGGCGTATTTTGAGGTTCTCATCTGAGACATGTTACTGTTGTTTGTTGTTGTTTGATCTTGTTGAGGGTCAAGACTTTTTTTATTACAAAAAAAGTTCATCAAAGTCGCTAAACACCCCTGTGGGTTCTTTTTTAGTTTTACGCTTAGAATCTGACGCTTGGGTTCTCCACGATTTATCTTGTTGGAGCAGCTTTACAAGCTTATCATCTTTGTTTTTCTTTGCCGCGTCGTTTTGCGTGACTTGCGGAAGGTGACTAGCGTCACCTTGCGGCGTGACTTGCGGAAGGTGACTAGCGTCACCTTGCGGTCGTTTTGAGAATTTATCATAGATCGTTTCACCAACTAATTGACCCATCTTATCACCGACTTGCTCAGCACCCTTCTCAATCGCTTTCGTCGCCGCTTTCGTTGCAAGCTCTTTCGCAGCTTTACCTGTAACCTTGGCAGCTACTTTTGAGGCTACATTTTTGACAACGTCGAAAATTCCTTCACCTTCTTGAGGTGAAGCATCACACACTTCGTGAGTGTCGTCAATATTTTGTAGTATGAGTTTGCCATCGGCACCTCGTCTCATATGTTTTCGAACCATAGCTTTTATTTTCAAGGGTTGTATGAAATAAATTACTATTTTTTTATGTTCAAAAACGCTTACTTTAGCAAAAGTGTTAGCGATACGGCTGTGCCGTTAAGATCGAGTGCTCTCCCAAGAGAGTCGGTTATGTAGATTCGCAAATCTCTGATAGCACCCGTGTTTATTTTGCTATATTTCTTTTGCCTCGGTTCGAGATGAAAGGGGTATGAGAGGGGTAGATTATCTACGCTAAATCGATAGAGAACATCCGATTGTTTTCCACCGACAACCGATTCTGAGAGAATATTTGTTCTGATGTAAATATCATCTACCGAGCGAGTGATATCCGGTAGCTTGTCACCATAACTAGTCGCTGTAACGATTTTCTTTGTGAAACCGATGAGGTCATCAAAGTCACCGGTTTGTAGATCGACTTGATAACCATCTTCGAGGCCGATCAGGCATTTGAAGAGGGCTGGCACGAATTTCAGCTCGATACCGGTCTTGCTATGCTTCGAAGATTCGAGTTCTCGCTGAATATAAGCGTTTAATTGTGAATACGAGAAATTCCCATTAGGGAATTCGATTTCATGCCACGTGTTGCCGGAATCGTGACTATATTTCAGTTTGTTGTTATTGTAGGTGTTGCTGACGTTGTACCATGAGTATGACATGGCAATTTCGTCAAGAGCAACATAGTATGTAGTGTTTGGGTCTAACTTCATCACAGGGTTGAAGGTAGTAGTAAAATCGTGGCTTACTCCACTCGAACAACTCAGAGAGCTGATATTGATAGGAGTCGGAGGTTTATGATATGACACAAGAAGTGATGACAATCCCAACAATTCCTTGTTCAGTGCGATTAATTCTGTAAGCTCACCCATTACTTTCAGTTTAGATATCTTTGATAGTATGCATTATATTGTTCTTTCGAAATTTGGTTTTTCTTCAGGATGTAATCGAGAATCTCTATTATTTGGTTACGAATTTCTATAGATCTGTTACCCGCTTCTCTAGCGGCTGTCAACATCTTTAATTTTTCTTTCAGTTCTTTGAAATCGGTAAATATAAGCCCTCCAGTCATTTTTGCCTTTCCAGACGATTTGTGCATTGGAAGGCCGGCGAGTTTTGAGAGATGTTTGAACATTTCCATTGATTTTTGTGAGTAGGACGTTTTGGGATTGTGTTTCTTTCTTAGAAGATCTATTAGAAATTTGTCACCCCGCCTTTCATAAACAACAGAACCGGTTGGATCGGCCGCTTCAGCCACGAATTCGTTATATAGACGAGGTAGGTTGAAGCGGATGTTACCGAATTGTCCGTTGTCATCAACTTTGTAGGCATTTCGTTTTTTCTGTGTATAGTTACGCTTGCGACCCTTGAGACCTTGACCTTGCGTGACAAGTATTTTGTCACCACCCGCGAGTAAATTAATTCGCTCTGCATATTTTTTCAGCGTGTTGACTTGTCGCACAATATCTTCGATTTCGTCTCTGTTTTTCTCTTTAGCCTTCGAGTAGCCAGCCTTGGCGTGGTTTGCTCGGCTGATTTTATTAAACACATCTAACAGGAGCCCATCGTGATCAAATTCCTCCTCAAGTATTTGTTTGAATGCAACTTTAGGCGTTGGGTAGCCGATTTCTTGAATATATTCAAGTTCGTCTTGGCT